AAATTGTACTTCAGATACCAAGGGTCTCTGGCTTCACAACCCTGGTACCCTAAACAACATCATACTTGGCTACCCTCTGGTAATTTAACATAGCTATGGAAAATCATCATTTAAATGGGTAAATCACATAAATTATCAATTTCCCATAACTATGTGAAATTACCAGGGGGCAAATGGATGTTCATTCCCTCATTTTGATGTTTCTCAAAGGTATTGACACATCCCCATCTGACGATCTGTAAACGAACATCCACAAAAGGACCTGTTGGCTTGTAGGATCAGCGGGGTGGGCAGAAAACCTTCATGCTAACCCAAGATTGAACAGCCATGTTTTTTTCTTTTTAATAGGGGAATGCTAGTTTTAACAGCAACTTGGAAACCCTTTTAACAGCAATCGAACTACTGTGGGTAAAACAACAATAAACCACCCATGACTGGGAATGGTTTATACCACCTATTTATGGTAATGACTGGGGCATGGTTTATTATTGTTTTACCCACGTGACTGTGGTATAGCCCTACGACTGGGATGATTTCTTCCACCCAGTCCTGCTTGATGGGATGGTGACTGTGGCATTGCTTTACCACATTTCTATGGCACGAACTACTGTTTTACTCTATTATGGTTATACATATATATATATATGCATAAACAGATGGATTGGTTAAGTTATAGTTAACATCATATGTTTACAAATTGGTATGGGAATACACTACTCTTATAGTTTAAATCATACTCCCCAGTACATAAACCCTATTGAATATAGATATATCTACCATAAACCCCATAGACAATGTATATATATATATGTATTATAGACCATTAATAATATGTTTTATTTATTGGGTGGATCCCACATTAACAAACAGGGGAACTGATTTCAGGAGCAGGTCGTGCTCAACTACCGAACCGCGGTGCTCTGCTTTTCGGTCCTGGACTTTGCCACGACCCTGCTGAACATCATCGCAGGACTGGCCAGCACGAGGTGCCGCCATGGATGGAAGCCATGGATGGAAGCCATGGATGGAAGCCATAGAAATCATCGAGCAATGGTGGTAAATACAATATGATGTGGCTTCTGATGACCACTTAGAAATCGCTTTTCAAAAGGCCGTATTTTTGAAACAGTGAGAGGGGCGTCTCAGAATGTAGGAACAATGAACTGTCATCGCCTCCAGTAAGGTTGACTTGATGCATCCTAAGTTCCCAAGTTCAAAGGGACCAGGGTCCCGGCATTGTTGTGAAAAATACTGGACACCCACATTTTGGATGGTAAAAAGCCACACTTCCCCCCTTTTTTGTCTCTGAAATCGATCTCAATTTTCGTTGCTTCCCTCCCAATTTTCGCGGCTTAGCAATTTTTGCGGGTGAGATCCATATTCTTCAATCCCCAATCAAAATCCACCGGCAAGGGACTTGGTTTGGTTCGCCCTGGCTATCTTCATCTTGGGGCCGCTGAGTGGCATATTGGGCGCTAAGCACTTGAACCGCAGCCTGGTCTCAGCCCCTTGGTGGTAAATTGATGGAACATCCCACCAAAAAAGTAGGTTTTCATGGACACACACTTGAACATCAAAAGAAAATCACGGGATGCAGATCCAAACTTCCCTATATATATAAAGATATATATATATAAAGATATATATATATATATAAATAACTAACTATATATATATATGCATATATATATATAAATAAATAAAATAATATATATATAGTTTTTTGGTAAATGGGTGATTTTCCAGCAAGCCATGTGAAACATAACCAGAGCTCTTCCGCTTTGGCTTTCACAGCAACTCTGATTCTCGCCTGGTTGGAGGAAATTGAAGACCCTGTTGGTAGAAATTGGTTTCCAAACCACTTTGATTTTTGAGAAGTAGCCTTTCGTATTTGACACATAGATCCACGACTTACATACACTTGGCACCCGACGTGGACCCCACGGATTCTCAGGTTTACTTTGCCTTTTGTATTTTAAAAGCTGTCGTGGAGATTGCATTTGCGATCTACACCCTGTGGCTGTGGAACATCATTTTTGCGGTGGTGCAGGCGTGGTTCCTGGGGACCAAACAAGCAGGGTGGGTCCCGATTTTGTTGGTGAAATCACCAGTTACTGTTTGTGAAACCCCTCAGATTTATGACATTTACCCCCAGATTTGTTTGTTGTCCACATATTTCTTGCTGAAGAATACCCCACATGGCTTGGCTGGGTGTTTTTTCCATGCAAAACTGTATGAAGTGATCCAAATTTTGAGAACCCAAGTGTGTTTTTGCCAACAAAAATCAACAGGCCTATTGTGTCTCCAGGAATTAAATTAATTGATGGTTATTCCTGAGGTGAACCGCGATACTCCCAACAATTAATAATAGAATTCATGCTTTATTTCCTACAAAATCGGGCGGTTATAGATGATCACCATTTTCTATGGCAATATTTGCCTAAGGTGTGAATCGTCAAAATCATTGACTCGATAATAGTAACTCCTAAGAATCCAATGACATCCAAGAACTGATAGTAATCATTCCCGGTATTAACCAGTATTAACCATTATTAACCATTTATTAACCATTACTAACCACCATTACTAACCACCATTAACCATCATCATTAGCCATTGTTAACCAATGTTAAGCATCATTATTAACCAACCATCATTCACCATGACATTCCCAAAGAAATCCAGCTGTGGATCATCAAGATTGTGGCCACATTCCTCTATGCCCTGGGTCGAATACCCCTGCAACGACGTTCGGAACTGTTGGACCTGAAGGAGTCCTGGCATGGACACAGCGGACTTTCAAGGTGAAAGCTATAGGAAATCTAGGGAAATTGTGGTAATTTATGGTAATTTATTGGAAGCATATAGGACATATAGTTTTTTGATGTTTTTTGAACATGTTTCTTTTTTTCTTGAATGGACGATTTCTAGGAATGAACATTGTGCCAGTATGTTTTTTTTGTTTTCCGGAACATTATTGTGAATCGGATTCTGACGAGCCACCAAGATGGTCTGCCTATTGAGCCTATCTGGGATTTCCTGGGATATTGATGAGACTTAGCATAGGATGGAATGGTGTACTCTGTCTTCAGACAAACCCAGATTATAGTTTTGTTGCAATCTGGCTGTGCCTAAATGGTACACTTTAGTCTTCCAATAGATAGGGATGATTATGCACCAATAATAATTTTCCTGATGAGAAACCAACCAAAAGATGGCTTTAATAGCAAATGAATATAATGAATCGTAGGTTGCCCAGATCCGAAGAATCTAAAGTATTCACTACCTATTTCTGATTAGTGGTTTCCATTTTTTAGTTTCCATCCTGTCTGGGATAGGGATTTTTGTTGAAACCAACCAGCAGTATGTTGAACGTTTTCCTGATAGGAGATCCAGTAGAGAATCCAGCATTTGAAAAATATCTTCTTCCATTTTTTAAATGGAGGTTCCACAAATGGGGGGTCCCCAGAATGGGTGGTTTATAGTGGAACATCCCATTAAAATGGATGATTTCGGAGTACCCCTATTTTAGGAAACCTCCAAATGTTCCTTCCAAGGATGTGGCTGTTCGCATGGTCTACTGGTAGCTGGTAGCTCGACACTCCAGCGCAGGGCAGGTGGCGTGACGACAGTGACCACTCGAACACCCTGCGTTTCGGTACCTAGAAGTGACCAGAAAACGTCCACCATTGTGTAGCTTTGATCTTTGGAACAGACTGTAAGTGTCGTGTTTCACAAACCTCTGGGTGGTGCCTTAAATTGTTGACCTTAAACTAAAAACCATGGCCATGGCCTGACCAAATTGCTGAATGTTGGCCCAACTTTGGGAACCACCGTTTGGCGTTTGGGCCAAGCAAAAATGTACAGTTTCGGCCCACAGGACGCGTTTTGTGTTTTGTCAGCTACGCCTGTCAAGATACAGAATTTGACTGCGATCTAGCTGCTGTGGGGTTGCCAATGTAAAGAACCTCCAATCTGCAACGGAACTGTGTCAAAACATTCATAGAGTCCTCACAATTTGATGATCACCTTAGCATGAGACCGGAGTTTGACACAGTTCCCAGAAGCAAGCGACGACTTTTTGGTCGACAGTGCCTTTGATAATATAGGTTTCACAAGTGCACAGGCAGAAAACCAGGCACCATCGATGGAATGGTTGAGATAGTTTGGACGATGTTGGAAGAAAATGCACCGGCATTCCTTGCTGCTTACCGCCACACGTCTCGCTGGAGCTCTTTCTCAGCCCATGAAGCGACCACTCAAAGCGTGTTTTTTTTTTAAAAATCAACTATTCATCCCGAATTCACCAAGATTCGCAGCCATTTGGGATCATTCAGAACCGCTGTGACCGCAGCCATGATGACACCTGAAGACACCAGGCCGAGAACATGAGTTCTGAGTTGGTTGCGTATTGCCGAGGTGTGTCGAACCCGAAAAGATGGATTTTAGAGATTTTGACAATACCCTGGTTGTCTCATAAATACTTTATCTTTTAGCCCTGTTCTGTACACGGTTTGTTGAACCCAGCTGATTGAGGCCTCGTTGATCACTAATCCAGTAGCGTGCAACCTGAGAATGGAACTGGATCATCGACAGATTTGTTTATTGTATTGTATTGTAATGTATTGTGTTGTGTTGTATTGTATTGTGTTGTATTGTATCGTGTTGTATTGTATCTTGTTGTATTGTATTGTATTGTATTGTGTTGTGTTGTTTTGTGTTTTATTGTGATGTATTGTATTGTATTGTATTGTATCGTATCGTGTTGTATTGTATTGTATTGTATCGTGTTGTATTGTACTGTGTTGTATTGTATTGTATTGTCTTGTGTTGTATTGTATTGTATTGTGTTGTATTGTATCGTGTTGTATTGTATCTTGTTGTATTGTATTGTATTGTATTGTGTTGTTTTGTGTTTTATTGTGTTGTATTTTATTGTGTTGTATTTTATTGTAATGTATTGTTTTGTATTGTGTTGTATTGTATCGTGTTGTATTGTATTGTACTGTATCGTGTTGTATTGTATCTTGTTGTGTTGTGTTGTATTGTATTGTATTGTGTTGTATTGTATCGTGTTGTATTGTATTGTATTGTATTGTATTGTATTGTATCGTGTTGTATTGTACTGTGTTGTATTGTATTGTATTGTGTTGTACTGTATTGTATTGTGTTGTGTTGTATCGTGTTGTATTGTATTGTATTGTCTTGTGTTGTATTGTATTGTGTTGTATTATATTGTATTGTGTTGTATTGTATAGTGTTGTATTGTATAGTATTGTATCGTGTTGTATTGTACAGTGTTGTATTGTATTGTATTGTGTTGTATTGTATTGTATTGTGTTGTATTGTATCGTGTTGTACTGTATCTTGTTGTATTGTATTGTATTGTGTTGTGTTGTTTTGTGTTTTATTGTGTTGTATTGTATTGTGTTGTATTTTATTGTATTGTATTGTTTTGTATTGTTTTGTATTGTGTTGTATTGTATCGTGTTGTATTGTATTGTACTGTATCGTGTTGTATTGTATCTTGTTGTATTGTATTGTATTGTATTGTGTTGTATTGTATCGTGTTGTATTGTATTGTATTGTATTGTATCGTGTTGTATTGTACTGTGTTGTATTGTATTGTATTGTATTGTGTTGTATTGTATTGTATTGTGTTGTATTGTATTGTATTGTGTTGTATTGTATCGTGTTGTATTGTATTGTATTGTATTATATTGTATTGTGTTGTATTGTATAGTGTTGTATTGTATTGTGTTGTATTGTATTGTATTGTGTTGTATGGTATTGTATTGTATTGTGTTGTATTGTATTGTGTTGTATTGTATTGTGTTGTATTGTATTGTATTGTGTTGTATTGTATTGTATTGTGTTGTGTTGTATTGTATTGTGTTGTATTGTATTGCATTTTATTGTGTTGAATTGTGATGCGTTGTATTTTATTGTGTTGTGTTGTGTTGTGTTGTATTGTGTTGTATTGTATTGTGTTGGGTTGTATTGTGTTGTGTTGTATTGTATTGTGTTGTATTGTATTGTATTGTATTGTCTTGTGCTGTATTGTGTTTTATTGTGTTGTATTGTATTGTGTTGTATTATATTGTTTTGTGTTGTATTGTGTTGTGTTGTTTTGTATTGTGTTGTGTTGTATTGTATTGTGTTGTATTGTATTTTGTTGTCTTGTACTGTATTGTGTTGTATTGTATTGTATTGTGTTGTGTTGTATTGTGTTGCGTTGTATTGCATTGCATTGTATTGTATTGCATTGTATTGTATTATGTAACTATATATATATACACACACTTCCACTATGTGTTCATATTATCACATATTCTTCAGTGGTTGCCTTGCCTTTGCATCAGGCAATGCGCGGCTGAGCGGGGGGAAGCCAAGGGCGAAGTGAAGGGCGACACCTTCCCAGTGGTGCAGGGGACGCCTATAGGTGGAGCCGCAGTTGGACTGGGTTTGTGGTTAATTTGATGTTTTTTCGCCATCATCATCATCATCAACATGAGTAGTAATAGTATGCACTACCAGTGGTGTTGGTGGTGGTGGTGGTGGTGGTCGTCGTCGTCGTCGTCGTAGTAGTAGTAGTAGTAGCAATACTACTGTAACCACTGATCATTTTCATGCAATGTGATAGTAATAGTGATAGCTATGAAAAGGGCGGTATTAGTGATAATGATGATAGTGAGAATAATGTCGATAATCATGATCATGATCATTATCATCATCACCACCACCAACATCATCATCATCATCATAATCATCATCATCATCAACATAAGTAGTAATAGTATGCACTACCAGTGGTGTTGGTGGTGGTGGTGGTGGTCGTAGTCGTAGTCGTAGTCGTAGTCGTAGTAGTCGTAGTAGTCGTAGTAGTAGTAGTAGTAGTAGTAGTAGCAATACTACTGTAACCACTGATCATTTTCATGCAATGTGATAGTAATAGTGATAGCTATGAAAAGGGCGGTATTAGTGATAATGATGATAGTGAGAATAATGTCGATAATCATGATCATGATCATTATCATCATCACCACCACCACCAGCATCATCATCATCATCATCATCATCATAATTCATAATCATCATAATCATCATCATCATCGTCATCATCATCATCATCATCACTATCTGTCATAGCAACTATGTACTCTTCCCGCTACTATTGTAACGGTAGCAGTATGCAATGAGTGTGGTAGGAATAGTATGTCATGATAGCAAGACTATATATACTTTTGATAATAACTGTAATAGCGATAGTAGGCATGAAGATGATAACTAGTAAAATAGTAATATAATGTTTTTCTCACTATTTTTTTTACAGTACTATAATCACATACTATTGTTACAGTCGCTAAGACTCTAATGGAATCGTCACTGTCAGCCATTATCATGACCATGATCACTACTGTGATCCATACGGTTATTACCATTATCAATTATGACCATTATAAACACCATTATTATTATTATCATTATTATTACTGCGGTTGCTATGTTATGATGAGATTCTCATACTACTATCATGTTTGTATAGCTGTGCATTTTGCTGGAGGTCAAATTCCGAAGCCGAAAGCCATGACATGGCTTGCCACGGAAAGGTCGCAACCTTCAAAAACACAGGAAACACTTGCTTTGCGGCGGCGGCACTGCAGGCCATGTTTCCTTCCTTTCCTGCGGAAAGCACTGCAGGGTGTACTTGCGGCACCTGCGTGGTCTGCGCGCTGCGCAGAAGTTTTTTGGGGTGGCAAGCCGGTTCGAAGGGGGCATCTCTCAACCAGTGGCAGCCGTGGTTGACCCACGTCGGCTTGGACTGGGGCCTCCACCGCGCACTCTTGGTCGAGAAAGTGCTGTGTGCACTTCGGGACGGTCGTGTCCCGCAAACCATGCCATGCACCTCTGGGGCCTGCCCCTTGAGGTCACGACTAGATTGCCTCTGTGCAGGGCCTCCTTGCATCATTCGCAAATCTTGCAGGACATGGCTTCCCCTGCGCAACCTGCGGAGTGAAGGAAGAGGATGCAGGAGTGCAATGACAGCTAGGAACCTGGTGTGCGTCCTCAAGCGGACTGAGGCCTCAGTCCCATCCCATCAGTATCCCTAGACAGATTTACCTAGACAGCCAAGTTCTCCAAGACATGGGTCAGTTTAACTGTTTGGAGGAGCCTCTCTGATATCTGTACCGCCACAGAAGCCTCTCCCTTGGACTGTCACTTCTGTGGGGTAGACAGCCCCCCTGCTTTCTTAATAAAGACCGCGCGAAATAGCAGTTTATACACACACACAACACACATACACATAATAATGAACCAAAAACAAAAGCACAGGTATCCCAGGTTGGCGTATCCTGTCCAGTTTGTTTTCCATGCCAAACTAGTTCAAGGTAGCCTTACCTAATGGGAAACCAAGTCATACAAAAATCAGGGCCACGTTATTCGAGTTGGAAACTAATGATACGGTCATACTACCATCTATAGAACTCATAGGCGGATAGGTATGGAATCCCTGGATCCATTTCTTTTTGCCATGGGTTGCCTCAGTTCCAATGCCCGGGGTCTGTTGGGGCCCGCCAGGCGTTCCCGTTGGCGCCCCTCAGATACCGATGGGTGTTGTGGTGGCCGTGTCATCTTTGACGGTTGAGGTGGGCGTCCCCGTTGGCGCTCCTCAGATGCCGATGGTGGCCGTGTCACCTCTGAAGGTAAAGGTGGGGAGGGATGGTTTTGTGACGGGTGGTTCTACCAATGAAGATGGAATCTGGTGGTTTCTAACCCTGAAGCGATTCAAAAAATAAAGCAAAGCACATAAAGAAATAAACTCACAAATAAAGAAATAGATTCATAAATGCATCAGCAAATACACAATTACATAAATATAGAGATAAAAAAATGAATGCACGAATAAATGAATATCTGTGTATATAACATAAATATAATATATAGCTCTCTCTTTCTCTATATGTACATTAACTGGGGATATTATTTTAATATTTTGGGAAGAAAATGGGCGAAGGAAGTTTAGAAGTCGAACTTCCGGCAATACGGACAGATCAAAAGCAGAGATGGGCAGAGTCAGAGAAGAGAAGAAGATCAAAAAAGAGAAAGTCTGCTAAAGCGGCGGGTGCGGAGCCAGCTGGCCAGATGAGAGATGAAAAATTGCACGCCGTTGTGGCACGAAGCACATTGCGAAGTCAAAATGTACGAAACGCACCAGGTTCGGACCACTTTTGGAAGTTGAGATGATGAAAAAGTGTACGGCGTTGTCGGGGGAAGCGCATTTCGAAGCCAAAATGCACAAACACATCAGATTCGGAGCATTTTTAGAAGTCGCGATGTCGAAAAAGTGCACGCTGCTGTGGCGCGAAGCACATTTCGAAGTCAAATGTACAAAACACACCAGGTTCGGACCACTTTTTGAAGTTGAGATGTCGAAAAAGTGCAAGCTGCTGTGGCGCAAAGCACATTTCGAAGTCAAAAGTGTAGAAGACTGACCGGTTCGGAGCACTTTTGGACGTTCAGATGTCGTTTTGCGTGGCAGGCGCAAGGGATTGTGCACCTTGTCAAAAGTGAGCAAAACGTGAGGGTTTTGTAGCATTTCCAAAAACTATGGCAGGCGTTTGAAGAACATCTGCAAAGATGAATTTTCCGTGGCACACGCAGTACAAAAGACATGTTCATCAGAGATGTTGGGAGGTCCGTTTTCGTGGCAGACGCAGTACTTTAGACAAATGGAGTGGAAACATCGCAAAACGCATTGGTACGAGGCCGTCAGCTCTGCACTCAACTTTCCATTTTTGAAGGAAGTCTCCCAGAATTGTTTCGTTTTTGATGTTGTCACCGTCCAAGAATAAGGAAGTCTCGCAGAATTGCTTCGTTTTTGCTCTTGTCAACTTCGAAAATTGAGGACGTCTCGCAGAATTGTTTTGTTTTTGACGCTGTCAAGTTCAAAAATTGAGGAAGTCTCGCAGAATAGCTTTGTTTTCAAGCTTGCAGATAGAGAGATAGATAGATAGATAGACAACTACAACTGCAACTACAACTACAAGTACCACTACACTACACTACCACTACTACTACTACTACTACTACTACTACTACTACTACTGCTACTCCTACTACTACTACTACTACAAGTACAAATATACTACGCTAATTACCCTACAACTGCTACAACAGCAGCTGCTACAACAGCAACTACTACAACAGCAGCTACAACAACAGCAACTACAACAACAGCAACTACAACAACAGCAGTTACAACAACAGCAACTACAACAACAGCAACTACAACAACAGCAACTATTACAACAGCAACTACTACAACAGCAACTACTACAACAGCAACTACTACAACAGCAGCTACTACAACAGCAGCTACAACAACAGCAGCTACAACAACAGCAACTACAACAACAGCAGCTACAACAACAGCAACTACAACAACAGCAACTACAACAATAGCAACTACTACAACAGCAGCTGCAACAACAGCAACTACTACAACAGCAACTACTACAACAGCAACTACAACAATAGCAACTACTACAACACCAACTGCTACAACAGCAACTACTACAACAGCAACTACTACAACAGCAACAACAACAATTACAACTACAACTACAACTACAGCAACAACAACTACAACAACTACTGCAATACAACAACTGCTACTACTGCTGCTGCTGCTACTACTACTACTACGACTACGACTACGACTACGACTACGACTACGGCGACTATGGCGACTACCACGACTAGTACGACTACTACGACTAGTACGACTACTACGGCGACTACTACTACTACTACTGCTGCTGCTGCTGCTGCTACTACTATCACTACTACCACTACCACCACCACCACCACCACCACCACGACAGCTACAACTACAATTACAGCTACCCTACATAACACGACAGTACACTAATTAAACTGCAGTACATTACAGCTACATATGCAAATACCACTGCAACTACACTACATTACACAACACTACGCTAGACTAATTACATTACATTACACTACAACTGCAACTACCACTACATTGCTCTACACGACACTACACTACAACTACAACTGCACTACTTTTTACGCTACAATACACTAGACTACACTGTACTATACCACGCTACAGTACACAACACTACAGTACACCACGATACACTACACTAATTACACGACACCACAACTACAACTACAGCTGCGCTACACCACACTACATCCAGCAGTTGTGGTGAGGTGACCACTGCAACCATTGCAACCACTCCAGAAAACACAACTCCAACCACTTTTCGGTCCATCGGTGGATTCGCTCTGCCATCTGGGATTCACAACAACCAGCCCCTCCTATAGGTTTCCTATTTGTGAAACTTCCGCCACCGCTTTGTGGGGTACTACTGGTATAATGCAATGATTGTCAAATAGGGTGGTGAATCATTGGGATTACACAAACCAGTTTGCGGGAATATATATATATAATACTCGGGATTCGTGTAGGTACAATGTTAACCCAAAAAAATGCTGACCCCCCAGTGCATCAACAGGGGGGGTTAATCGTGATTTGGAAACCTACCCGGGACAACCCCGGCAATTGTCAGAGTTTTTTTTAATGCAGGGTTGACATGAAACATTGGAATTAGAATGACGTTTTTTTGGTGGTACCCATAGACATTGGATGTTTGATCTAACTATTTGATGAACACAGTTTCTTTTGTTACCAACATTTTAAGAAATTCGGGTTTGTCTGAGACTGAGTTTTTTTGCCCACAACGGATGACAATCTCAACGGACAAAGAGATTTCAACCATCAAACAATGTTTTGGGGTAGTTTCCTTTCAGTCAGACCCATATGATGGGTGTCAAGTTGGTCACAACTCTGGTACCTTAGTGAACACCATAGCTGACTACCATCCCGTAATTTAACATAGCTATGGACAATCACCATCTAAATAAATAATAATAAATAAATCATTTATAACGGACTGATAACCCATGGTTTATTAACAAGGGGCATACCAATTTTGAAACCTATTGTAGAAGTAATTGATCTACTGTGATAACTATTTTTTGGCATGTATATATATAATATAAGATATATAAGATATATATAATATATATATAATATATATATGTATATATATATACATATATATATATATCTATTTGGGATGATTTAAAATGATCCCGAGTCCTGGTTCGTTATTGACGTGGTTTGAGGGGTGAGTTTACCACAGCATAAATTTGTTAAAAACACCAATAAAAATGTTCATGGCAATGGGTGGATCCCGCATTAACAAACTAATTTTGATCAACCCCAGGAGCAGGAAGTGCTCAACTACCGCGCCGCGGTGCTTCTTCTTTCGGGGCTGGACATCGCCGCGACCCTGCTGAAGACCGCCGCGTTGCTGGCCAGCACGAGGTGCCATGGATGGAAACCATGGGGTGGGCCATGGAAATCATCGAGAAAGTGAGAGGGGCGTCATAAGAACTACTGTAGTAACAATGAACGGTAGTGGGAACTGGAAACGGGCCCCCTGGTATTTCCAGGAGACCAGTGGGGATCCTTTCCAACTTTTCCAGTGAGTCTGACGAAGAGAAACCATCACACTCTTTTTGGCAGCTAATTTGTTGTTTCACTCCTTTTGGGACGGGTCAATACCAAATCACCTCCAAGCTTGGTATTGTATCTGGTCCGCACATCCCAGCATCTTCCAGACCTTCCCTGCACATTTTAGTTACATGAACAGCGGTAAGGTCGGGCCACTTGACGCATCCCAAGGTGCTAAGCCTCAAGGAGGTCAGAGCATTGTTTCAGGGAAGAATTATAGGACACCCACATCTTTGATTGTCAAACACCATGTTTTCCATGGTCAATTGCCCCTGAGATCGATCCGAAATCCAATTTTTTTGCTGGATCAGTCTGGTAAACCAATCCAGTGACCGGAAAGGAACTTGGTTTGGTTGGCCCTGGCTCTCTTCATCTTGGGGCCGCTGAGTGGCATGGTGGGGGCAAAGACCTTGAACCACAGCCTGGTCTCAGCTGCTTGGTGGTCGAAAGATGTTTTTCCCCAAACAGCGTGTCCACACTGAGGGGTTCTTTCCATAAGGACAAAAGGCCAAGGCCGGTGTTCCATCAGGGTTCGCGCTATGGTCTGCAGCTTTTGACGGCGCTGGCTCGCGCAAAGTTCCCTTCAAAGATGTCAATTTAGACAGCGGTGGCTCGCGCAAAATGTGTGTAACGGTTTGGTCTCTTCCGACGGTCTACTCTTACCGGCGCGCGGTGCTTGTTTTTTTGAGCAATGTCCATTTTTCGTGGCAAGTGTGGGACTTCCTGAACTTTTTGAAGCCTGAAATGATGGTTTGCGTGACAGGTGCAGGACATCGGACACATTTGCATCCGTGTGGCAGGTGTGGCATTTTCTGCACGCTGGGAAAACCTTGGCAGGCGTGGGTCGATATGCAAGGTGGATTCGGAGATCATTTTTGTGGCAGGCGCAGTATTTGGTGAACTTGGACGACGTTTTAGTTTTAAACGGGTCTCCTTTCTTCTGTCGTAAGTTTTGATTTGGGACACAATGATGATTTTGTGTGGGGCGCGGTCCTTCGGACGCTCAGGCTCATTTTTTGTGGCGGGCGCAGTGCTTTGTAGACCTCAGCAAAAAAGCGTTCAAAACCTAGGTAAAACATCGTGGTTCAGATTTTCAATATTAATAGTTCGTGGTGCGAGCAGCATTTGGTGAAACGCAATCCTCTCGTGACTTTGCTCTCGTTGTTGCCCTGTGTGAGTTCTGACGTGGCTCACGCTACCCTCTCAGCACTTTGTGCGTGTCAGATCGCTCTCGTTGTGCTGCGGTGCTCAGTTTGACATGGCATGAATATCTTGACCAAGGTCTTGTAGAGGTCCCTTTGCGTAGCTCTTGTGGGGGATCCCTGAGAGATCCTCTAGGAGGTCCTTCCGTGGTCATGTACAGATTCTCGTGAGAAGATCTTGTGGAGACCTTGGCGAAATCTTTTCTAAGAGGTCCTTGAATGATCTTGTGCAGGCCCTTGAGAAGATCCTGCTGCTAGAGGTCCGTTATGAAGATTTTCACCAAGGTCTTGTAAAGGTCCTTGTGAGAAGATCTCGTAGAGCTCCTGGTGAAATCTTCTAAGAGGTCCTTGCGTGATCTTGTATATACAGGTCCTTGGAAAGTTTTTAAATTTTGTGGAGATCCTGGTGAGATCCTCTCTAAGAGGTCCTTCCATGAAAATCTGGAAGATGACCTGTATTGCAGGTGCTTGTCTAGCAGCTCTTGTGGGATGCTCTTATAGGAGATTCTTGTACACAGGTCTTGTAGGACCTTCTCTATAGCAGGTCCTTCTATGATGATCTTGTAGAATTTTCTTAGATGTCTCCGTGTGAAGCGCTTGATCAAGACCATGAAGAGGTCCTTGTGAGAAGATCTTGTGAAGATCCTGGTGAAGAGGTCCTTGAATGAAGATCCTGCAGAAGAGATCCTTGCAATGAAGATCTGGCAGGTGCCCTCTCTAAGATGTGCTTGTATGAAGATCTTGTCGGATCCTCTCCAGGGTCCTTTCTTGACGATCTTGTGAGAATCTGTAGAAGTCCTGGCAAGACGACTTGTAGAGGCCCTTGAAAATCTGGTCGAGCTTGTGGTGAGATCTTCATTCTAAGAGGTCCTTGCATGATCTTGTACAGGTCCTTGTGAGAAGATGTTGCGGAGATCCAAGTGAGATGGTGTCGGAGGTCGTTGCATGAAGATCTTGAAGTCCTGGTCTGAGGTCCTGGTGAGTAGAGGTAGCGTTGCTTCTTGTGACAACACAGGTGCCTGCTGCTGCAGTTCCGATAGTGTTTTACCTCATTTGATTTCCGCAGCTAGTGTTGCTTGCATCTCTTGCATGGGGTTTCTTGCAAGCATAATTTTAGTGGTATATCAATGGAACATCTCTTTTCAATGGAAGTTTTAATTTGAAAAACATGGGGAAACTGAATGC